CTCAAGATCCCCTCGTGACCATACAAGTGAGAGATGATGTGACTTTTGATGATAGTCATGTGATGTTGTGTAGGTAAGGATGAGGAGTGGGTGGAGTGAGGGGAGGTGTGGTGAGAAAGGAAATTGTGATGATGAAAGCTATACTACCTCCTGAGTAAGAATATTAATGTGTCTTTTAATAATGTGTGATAATAATTTTAATAATTTTTAATGTGTGACCTAATATTTTTGTTAATTTTGTTATTTTTGTTAATAATTTGAGCTGTTTCCAACTAATTTTTTTGAGTTATGAGCATTTTTAGAAATAAGCCAATTTTTAAAAAATACCCAAGGCTATAGCCCATGCTTTTTTGTAAAAAATGGCTCCGAAATCACCCCTAATTTTTATTACTTTTTCTGATACATATTGATGCCCTTATGCTTTGTAGAAAATTTGAGCTGATAATTTTCAAGTTATAAGAATTCGAGAATTTAAAAAACTGAGCCAATTTTGAAAAAAGCAAAGGCTATGTGCATCCATGTACTGTACATGTACATGTCTACGTGCATTTTCTTTTACTTATTACATGATACATTGTTTATTGTTATCATTAGGTTATGGTATACTGTTACTGTTCTTATGGGGTACCCAATGTATGCTCCTTTTCATCAAAGAGGCTAAGTCATGTTACTTCTCATGATGTCATTCCATTCTTTCTCTCTTGATCCTCTCTCTCTTCCTCCTTCTACTTTCTATAGAAGAATTACTCTAACAACTAGATCAGTAGCGTTGCTGAGGAAAATGACTGTTGCTATGACAACTGTACATGTACATCAATGAAGAGATACTCAAGAATTTTTACATTTTTCTTTTTCTTTATTGTTATAATTTTTGCAAAGCAATTGCTTCCATAAAATCAACAATATTAAGCAAAAAAGCAACAACAACGATAAGAATAATTCTAATAATACTAAAGCAAAATACCTAGCTATTATTATATTTTTGTATAAGCTCATCAGCTAGTCCAATAGTTCTTAGAGTATCTTCCTCTCTGAGTATATCT